TTTGACTTTTTTTTTTTTTAACTTAGGTGGTAGGCTTTCTCCTGAGCTACAGCTTAGTGGACTTACACCTGCTTCACCAGCTCCTTACACCAATTTGAGTCCGGCATTGAGCATAAGTAGCTCTTCACATCAGCCATCATCGAGTGACTTGCATATAGGAGATCACTCAAGCACTGAGATCCCATCTATCACCGTTACTGCTTCTGGTGATGTTGAAGGTAAATATTTCTTACACACATGCTTACTTAGTAGCCTTTATTTGTTATATACATATATATGATTTTTTTTTAACTCCCATTCATATATGTATATATTAAATGACAGACCAGCGTCTTTTATAGATCACACCGCCGGTAGTCCTAGTGGACTTGTTGTGGAGCTGGTTGTTTCGTCTCCTACTCTTTCAGATTCTACTTGGGTAGTCGTTGGTGACTCGTTGGGAGAGCTTTCACTTGATGATCAATGTACTTGTAGTGGCTCTACCCAGTTACTACCCAGGAGTGATGCCGATGACACCACGACGGAGCTAGTCACCCACCCTTCCTTGACTCAGGTGGTCTCAGATTGTTCTTCAGGGAGTTCTTCACCAGACGTTACCTCCCACCAGAGTGGTTGGCGATCTGTAGCTTCTATAGAGGACTCTCACCTTTCAGGTATTATCTTATTTCAAATTAGCATTTCTTATCATATTGTATATATAAATATTTTGTAATGATAACTCCTTTCATATTCTAGGTTTAGAGCTTTCATGTTTCGAGTCAAGATCTGTGTTTCGAGCTCATCGCTCTTTTAGTCAGCGGTGGCTAAGAGGAGAGCAGTATGCCGTTACTGCGCTACGAGTTTTACTACGGCGAGTAGACCTTAATGCTTTACCAGACTTGTTTAGTTTTTATATGGAGGCCTGCTTACTTTTGGACTTTGCTGCCTCCTGTGGTCTACGAGATAGCCTTTTGCAGATGTGGGAACTTTCCTGTCACACTGTTGAGTTCGGGTTACTTCAGCTAGACTACGCTTCTCGAAGGTTGTCTAACATAATTCTTGCTGATTTAGAGGCTGAGGCCCGAGCTACTTGGGATAGGATGAGGAGAGCTCGTTTTGATCTAGATTTTGGATTACAAAATTTGCATCACTGTCAGTGGGACATTTCTAGAGAGCAGATGGTGCTTCTGGGTATAGAAGCTGAGCTCAGAGCTTTGAAATTGAGGGAGAGAGTTCTTCTAGAGAGACGTGAGGAGGTTAGAGCAGTGGCTATCCATACCGAGGAGGACTTTTCTTTGATAGCTTACGAGGTTAAGCATTTGGAGGATAGATTTTCATTTTCCACTGAGGAGTTTGACTCGGCTCGTCGTCGGTTGGAGCTCGCAGAGGAGCAGCGAGCGATGTTGCAGGATCGTTTGTTCAGAGTTAGACATCAGATCAGCAACATTCAATTCAGACTTTGACAGCTTCATTACCACATTTCTAGTATTTATGCATATATTTATTTATAATTATGCATTAATTTTATAGTTTCTCTTCTTCTTCCTTTTTTTTATTATTATTATTCTTTTTATAGCTCGACCCTTAGGTTTGTGAGCATAAGAACTTAGCGGTTCGGCCCTTAGGCTTATTAAACTAATGAATTCTAGCTCGACCCTAAGGTTTTTGAGCATAAAAGACTTAGCAGTTCGGCCCTTAGGCTTATTGAACCAATGAATTTTAGCTCGACCCTTAGGTTTGTGAGCGTAAAAGACCTCAGCAGTTAATTATAATGATAAATCATTAAGTCAATATGTAGTCTCATGATTTCTTTACATTATTTGGTAAAGAGGTATTTTTTTTATAAAAAAAATTGCCTCCTGTATTACAGGAGGGAGTATAATGTATCTATAACATTGCCTCCTATATTTCAAGAGGGAGTATAAGGTATCTTCTACCTTTTATGATGATATAAATAAAATTGCCTCCTGTATTACAGGAGGGTGTATGTCATGTGTTATTTGCATTGCAAAAGAACATGTAAACTTATATCCTACATTGCAGGAATATATGTTAATCATTTCCTATCTTTATAGGAGAGATTAAATATTATCTCCTACCTCACAGGGAGATATATAAATTGCCTCCTGTATTACAGGAGGAGTTTTCATCATAATATTCTATCAATTTAGAGATTATGTGTAGTATTTCTTTAGATATTGGCCATTAATTGGTGGCATAGGCCTTTGACCAGAAATATCTATAAGTTTGTATGCCCCTCCTTCATATACCTTTTCGATAATGAAGGGTCCTTCCCATATTGGGTCAAATTTACCACCGACTCAGCGATGGGGAATTATGGGTCTTTTACGAACTAGTACAAGTTCACCTTCTTTGAAACTCCTAGGACGGACCATTCAATCATGAGCCCTAGTCATTCGAGCTTTATAGATTTCTAAATTTTGTTGGGCTTGCAGCCTAGTTTCATCTAAAGCTTCAAGTTCTTCCAACCTTAAAAGATCATTCTCTTCTCGAGTTAAGTCGTATTGTATAGCAATACGAAGCGACGGTAACTCCACCTCGAGAAGTAATATCGCCTCTGTTCCGAAGACTAGAGAATATGGGGTAGCCTGTGTCGCAGTCTTATAGGTTGTGCGATATGCCCATAAGGCTTCCGTTAATTTATCGTGCCATTCTCTCTTATTTTTAGAGAGAATTTTCTTGAGCAGTTTAATCAAAGTTTTGTTAAATGCTTCGGCCAAACCATTGGCTCTTGGGTTATATATCGATGAATAACGCCAGTCTATCTTATGACGCTCTATAAATCGATAAATTTTGGCACTTTTAAAGGCGGTACCATTGTCTGATATAATTCGACGTGGTATGCCAAAACGATAGACAATATTATCTCGGAAGAATTTCATAATATTGTCCGCTTTAACTTCTTTTAGGGGAATTGCTTCAGCCCATTTTGAGAAGTAATCTGTGGCAACAAGGATGAACCGATGTCCTGAAGAAGAAGGTGGTTCTATATGACAAATTATATCGGTGCCCCAGCTTTTGAATGGCCAAGATGCTACTGTAGGATGTAACAGGTTAGGAGGCCGGTGTATAACATCAGCATGCACTTGACATTGATAACACTTTTTAGCATAGTTAAGACAATCCTTAATCATGCTAGGCCAATAATATCCCATGTGTTTAATTTTGATCTTCATTTTTGGTCCAGATTGATGCACACCGCACAATCCTTCATGGACTTCAGTTATAACTCTTTGGGATTCGTTAGGACCTAAACATCGTAGCCATATTTAGTCAAATGATCTACGATATAACGTCTCATTAACATAAGCATATCTTAATGCTCTTTTAGCTATTTGTGAGGCAGTAGATTTATTCTCCGGTAATCTACCCTCTTTAAAATATGTAATAAATGGTTTCCTCCAATCATTCTCATCTGATATATATAAGCACTTGAGTATTTCCTTTCCTTCCTCTTCTTGTAAGGAAGCAGGAGATAATGCATGTCTATTCTGGATGGTTATGATGATTGGATCTTCTTGGACATTTATCATTTCTTTAGCTAGTTTTGCCAGCGCATCGGCTTTGCCGTTCTCACCTCGTGTAATCCTAGTTAGGGTTACCTCGGGAATTTCTTCTAGGAGTTTCAAAGTGTACTCATAATATGTGATTAGTTCGGGCTTATTAATTTTAAAAGCACCTGCTATTTGCTTAATTATAAGTTGAGAATCTTCATAAATATGAAGTTTATGAATTTGCATGTTAATTGCAAGTTCAAGACCTGCTATTAAAGCTTCATATTCAGCTTCATTATTAGTGCGAGGTTCTATTAAGCTATATGAGTATCGCAATATACCGCCTTGTGGGGTTACAAATATAAGGCCGATGCCTACCTGAACTATTGGGAGTTTAGGTGGTCGGGCTGGTTTTATTGATGAAGCTCCATCAAAATAGAGCTCCCATTCTCGTAGATGTATTCTCTCTTCCACTTCGATTATCTGCTCATCTGGCAGCTCATTATTAAGTGGAGAATCTATAGGTAAAGGATGAGCAGCTAGAAAATCAGCTAGTGCCTGCCCTTTTATAGTCTTTTGTGGCATGTAGGTTATATCAAATTGCATTAGCAACACCGTCCATCTAGCTAGACGACCCGTTAGAGTGGGTCTAGTCATTAAAAACTTTAATGGATCTATTTTAGATATTAATGTTATCTTATGAGATAACATATAATGTCGCAATTTTTGTGTGGCAAAAATTAATGCTAAACATTATTTTTCGATTGGCAAGTATTTTGATTCGGCCCCTATTAGTCGACGACTAATATAGTAAAGGGAATTTTCTTTGCCATCGATATTATCTTGTGCTAGTAATGCTCCGAGGGATTCCTCCAAAGCTGTTGTATACAAAATAAGGGGTTTACCTAGAATAGGAGCAGCAAGGATAGGAGGATTTAACAGGTATTGCTTTATACTATTAAATGCCTCCTGACAAGCATCGTCCCACACGAAAGGAGTATCTTTCTTCATCAATCGTGCAAAGGGTTGGCATCTACCCGAGAGATTAGATATAAATCTTCGGATATATGCTAATCTTCCTTGTAATGAACGAAGTTGTCTTAGAGTTTTTGGAGGTGGCATTTTCACTATTGCTTGAATTTTATCAGGATTAATTTCGATCCCTCTGTGGCATACAATAAATCCGAGAAATTAACCGGATGACACACCAAAAGTGCATTTAAGCGAATTCATTTTCAAATTAAATTTGTGAATCCTTTCAAATACAACTTTGAGATCATTTACATGTTCATGTTGATTTTTTTCTTTTTACAACTAAATCATCAACATAACATTCTACATGCTTATGAATAAGATCATCAAAGATGCGGGTCATCGTCCTTTGATAGGTGGCCTCGGCATTCTTCAATCCAAATGGCATAACCTTGTAACAGTATATGCCTATAGGAGTTCGAAAGGCAGTATGCTTTTCATCGTCTGGGTCCATTTTAATTTGATTATAACCTGACGAACCATCCATAAATGAGAACATATCGTGGTTCGACGTGTTATCGATCATAAGTTCTGCATTAGGGAGTGGGAAATCATCCTTCGGGCATGCCTTGTTCAAATCCTGATAGTCTATGCATATACGAATTTGACCATTTTTCTTCTTTATTGGGACGATGTTGGCAATCCAGTCAGCATATTTTTCTTCCCGAATAAAGTCAGCTTCAATGAGCTTTTTAGTTTCAGCGATCACCTGCTCTTCAATCTCAAGTCGTATTCGCCTGGGTGCCTGCTTGATAGGTTGTACTTTAGCGTTGATAGAGAGCTTATGCACTGCCACCTCTGGTGATAAACCAGGCATTTCAGTGTAATTCCACGCAAAACAATCTTTATACTCAACAAGAAGCATTTTTAGCTCTTCTGCTTTATCGTGCGAAAGATTCGCACTAATAAAGGTTGGCTTTGGCTCATCTTCTGTACCCAAACTTATCTCCTTGAGTTCATCCACAGTAGCCTGACCACCTTCTTCAAATTCTTTTGGAGCTTCTTTCAGATCTACTATTAGATGTTCAGCTTGATTTTTGTGTTCGGGCTGTCCCTCCTCTTTATCTGTTATGTTGTAGGAGGTTGCGTATGTTAGATGCGGATGTTGGGGGTACTCAAGATAATGGTAGGATGCTGCTCGTGTGAGACATGACTGTCGAGCATATCCAAGCCCCCATGTTGTAGACAAACCATGCCCAATAGGTTTTTGTGCATGCTCGTTGTGCCAGAGTTCTCTGAAATAACGAGCTCGTTTATTTGTTTGCACAAAGAAGACATTTTTCTCCATGAGCTTTCTCATGATGGGTGAAGGATATTGAGGAATAATTATCCACATATCTTCATAATCCCACTCATCTTCATTTTCTATTTCATGAGCAATATGATGTGGTATCACTTTTGATTCGTAGAAAAGGGATCCACGTTCATTAAGACCCCTTTGGGGAGGGACATAGAATGTCTTTAACATTCCTATGTTTGTATTTATCGTGGTAGTCAATGTTTTGGAATGCGCCGCTGGCATGGGTACTATTTTGATGATATTTGTGGATATCTGCTCTTCAGATACCCTTATCATCGAAATTGACATATTTTTCAATTTCTTAGATATAGGACTGGGTCCTGGATCCCTTTCCTCTGGAAATTCAGTAGTACCTTTGGGCTGATAAAAAAATTCTTCTTCTTCCTCTATACTTGATTTGCTCGAACACCGCACTTTATTTGCAAGACTAGCTTTATAATCCAAAGGGATGGCTGATAGTTCACTCTTTCTTTTCCCTATGATTAGGGGTTTGAAAGTTGCGGAGATATTATCGTCCTCTTCAGTATCACTACCGAGGTGAGGTACTGAGCAGATTTTCTTCAATTTATCCTTGCCTTTATCCTTTGGTTTTCCTTTATCCAGCGTAGCAACCTGGATTCTCGGAAGATTGATGCCTTCCAGTTTTTTTGCTATAAAGTACTTGGCATCATCGTAGATTTTGACTTCGTGCACCAAGAATGGTTGTTCATCACCATCGATGCGATGTTCTTCATTATCTTGATTGTACTTCATACATTGATGAAGTGTTGAAGGCACTATGCCATATTCGTGGAGCCATGGTCTTCCGAAAAGTGCCTTGTATGATGTATTGGAATCAATTATGTGGAATCTTGCCTCTGTATGCAGCTCTCCAAAACTTAGAGGTAAAACCACGGATCCCAAAGTTCTTTGCCCTTGTTCATTGAATCCTTACAGGAACACGGTGCTTTTAGTTAGATATTGAACATCCAAGACTAATCCTTTGAGCGTTCTGAGGCTCATTAGATTGACTGAGGAACCTGGATCGATCAAAATTCTGTTAATTTCTGTGTTGTTACTCTCTGGAGTGACATATAGTGGTCGATTATGATCTGTCATTCCCAGGAGTAAATCACTATCGCAGAAAGTAATTGTAGCAGTATTTTATGTATATAAGGCTTCTTTTAGGCTTTGTTCGACAAAGAACGCCTCATACTGCTCAGGATTTTGCAAGGCTTTGATGAGTGTGTCCCTAAGGTTCTTGGACTTAATAAGGGCATCGTATATACTCAGCAATGCAGGCAACTTGCGAAGATGAGATAAGATGTTATAATCCACATTTGCACTAGTCTCTTTATGCTTAGGTGGATCTTGTGGCATAGCCGCTTGATTGAGCTGGATATTCCTATCTTGCTCTTTTCCCTTCTTCTGGGGTGGAGGAAGAATTTGTTTTCTCCACTTCTTAATTGAATTTGTGTCACCTCTTCAGATGAGTCATCCTCAACATGGGAATCTTTTGTGTTCGCCACTTCTTCAGCTTCTTCTGAATCTGAGCTGCTTCCAAGTTTCGGGCAGCTAGTTTTAAGAGTTATTTTACTCTTATTTTTGTTATCAGGAAAACACAGTTCTTCATCTGAGTCCGTAAATGGTGATGCCATAAAACATGTTTCTTTAATATCAACTTTTGAAGATTTAGAGGTCTACCTCGTCTTCTCCCATTTCTTTGACCTTTTTGGCTTATAACTCGACAAGTTTCTCTTTGAATACTCATCTCTTCTTCAGATTCTGAGTCGAGGTGTAAGTTAGCCATATAATCCTCCAATATGATGGGTCTTCTAGGAGGTTGTTGGTATTTCTCGATAGAATCGATGTATCACTGGATTTCAGTCTTCGAGATCTAGACTGAAGTGGAGATGTGTGAATTTTAATTTAGTTTAGTTTAGTTTGGGTTGGGGCTTATGGCTTCCTTAGAAGTTGCCCGTTAATTTGTTTAGTTTAGAGCTTACGGCTCCAATTAGGAGTTGCCCGTTAATTTGTTTAGTTTGGGGCTTATGGCTCCAATTAGGAGTTGCCCGTTAATTTGTTTGGTTTGGGGCTTATGGCTCCAATTAGGAGTTGCCCGAAAAATTTTTATTAGGTAGATCTTATGACTTCCTTAGAAGTTACCTAATGATGGGTCTTACGACCTAGCCCTATGAGCTAAGTGGCCCGTTAATTTATTTGAGTTTTGAGTATAAGTTCGTTCACTTAGAAGTTCCCTAACACGTGGGTCTTACTGCTTCGCTTGGAAGTAGCCCAAAATAATGGGTCTTACAACTTAGCCCTATAGGCTAAGATGCCCAAAAATGATTTAGGTTTTGGTTATAGAGTCGTTCGTTTTAGAACTTCCCTAACTCATGGGTCTTACTGCTTCACTTAGAAGTAGCCCGTATGGCGGGTCTTACAACTTAGTCCTTTAGACTAAGATGCCCAAATATGGATTTTGTAGATTTGTTTGTTAGTTTGACACTAGAAATAATATAAGACCTATTACAAATTAAATTCCATTTAATTTAGCAATTTTAACTGCAACAGATTACCAATGTGGGAATGTGGCCAGAACATGGGGAAGACGGTTGGATCTCAATATAATTATATACTTTGATTGTTTGTGTGATTTTTTTTTTTTTAGCTGAACTCCTATCCTTCCTTGCAACGGTGTTTGATTTAATTAACTTGAAAACACAACATGGTGCTGTCACTTTGTATTTGATTAACAAATATATCAAGATTTCAACATCAAAACTGATTAAAATTTATTGAAATTTTAAAACAGTATTCTCGCCAGAATTTTACTTTATGAATTTTTTTTTTCGTGTCAAGCACACAGATTCTGATAGAGAATAATAAAGCTAATGGATTTTTGTTTTTTAATTGTATTCTTAGCTTCTTTAATTAGTTGCAGATTGTCTTGATACTAACAAAACTATTTATATCATACAGGGCATAACTTCTCCATCAACAATCAAGATGATTATTTTGTTCTTTTCCTCTCCTTCACCCTCCATCTTTGGCTCAGTAACGACAAAGTTATTGTTCTTTGGGCTAGAAGGAAGATCAATTTAGTGGTAGAGATCAAATTTCATTCTTTCAACTTGTATTCAAGAGTTTGATTCTTTCACCATTCATTTCTAAGTGCCCACAAGGTGTTCGATGAAATGATCCTTAAAAATTTGTTGAGATCCAAACAATATTTCAGCTAATGATTTGTTCCTCAAGCATAAGAATAAGGGAGTTTATTTGATTTTTTAGCAATAGACTTAAAAAAGTTGTCTAGCTACAGGAGCTATAGCTTTTTCATCTTTGCAATTTCCACAATAGGATCAATCAACTTTGTTAATTCAACAAAGTTGGTAGTATTTGGCTTTTAAAAAATTATGTCAACTTGTATACATGTGAAGGTAATATTCGGACATGGAGAGATTACACTCTAAAAGGCGAACAGGAACTTGTGACAGCATTTTCATCTTTTCAAAGTCATAGATTAGGTGTTTAGGTTTCAAATGCTATGGTTGATTGGCAACAACAATTTGGTTATTTGTTAGCACTTCTCATCTGTCCAGATTTTATTGACTATTCCCACCCTTTGATAAGTTAAATTAGCTATAGTTCAATTTTATTTTAGGTGGAAGGTTGTCTAAATAATTTTGAGTTTAATTAAATTAAAGTTTATGGCATTATATTTTTTAACTTGATTAAAATTTAAGTTATCAATTAGTTACATTCAAGTCTCAAATTAAATAAAATTCTTTACTCGACTTAATAAAAGATTTTTAATTTAAATCAATATCAACTGTTTAATCAAATTTTTAATTCGTTCAAAAGAATCTAACTGCTCAAATTTTCAGAAGTTCAACAGATTTTTTTTTATATAACCTATTGAATTAACAAAAGAGCTTTGTTTTAAATTCCCCAAAAATTTGGCTAAGTCCAAAAGTTTCGAGTAAATTTCGGCAGCCTCCCGGCGTCCCCTCCTTGATGCCGGGAGGTAAGGGAGTGCTCGACTCGGCCGGATCAAATCGACGGCGAGGAGATTTGGGAGAGCGAATTGATCCCAAACAAAAAAAAAATCTTCAAGTCTTCTAATATGGGCGACCTGTTAATTTAAGAAATTTATTTATTTTTTTTTAAAAAATGTATTTAGTTCCCTCAAAAATCCGGCAGCCTTCCGGCGTCCCCTCCCCGATGCCGGGAGGTTGGGGTGGGCATTTGCCCTTTCGCTCGACTCGGCCGGAATCAATCAACAGCGAGGAGATTGGAAGATAGTGTCTGCGCTCCCTCGGTCGGATAATCTCGAAGACCAAGGGCTTTGGGGGACCGTATCAACCCCGGGACTTCCTTCAATCTTCATTTATTTGATGACTACGTTGATATATATACAATACTTTTCTTATAATAATAATAATAACTATTACTGTTATTATTATTATTCATTGATAAATATGTATATATAATCTCTCTTTATCTTTGCCATAAGGAAATAAAAAAAATGAAAGAGAGCAGCTTTTGCTAATATTTATTAATAAATATATAGATGGTTTCTTTTCCCATTGTTTCAAAAAAGAGAAACAGAAACCAAGAACGGTAGCTTTTGTTGTTCCACGGGAGAAGGCGGACAAACCAGCGCTGGACGGTGACTTTTGCTTTGGGAAGTTTGATCCGACTGAAGGAAACAAAGCCGAAGAATAGATCCGGTGTGACTCAGACGTGTGTAAAGCAGGAAGAGATCGTTTGCTTAAGATTTTGCTCAACCAGGAGTTCGGAGCGGAGGACGGCGAAGACGTCGCTCTTGATCGACTGGGCTTTCGGAGACGGACGGGGGTGTGTTCGGACCTCGGCTGCGATTGGAACGATTGGTATGTGTTGATTCGGGATTGATTGCTCTGAGAGAATCCTAAAAATCAGAGCTAAAATTCTGATTTCTTGAAGGTATGTCCGAGTAACTCCCCTCCTTAATGTATTCTTCATTTTATACAAACCATTTGATCCGACTAAGTGGGCATTCGGTTCCGAACGTGCTATCGTGGGACGGTTGAAGACTTAATTTGTTATTTATTTATACATTTTTTTTTATTCTAACCGTTTGAAGCTACTGAGATCTTAGATTTTCATCTCTTGTAATATCATTTAGTTTTGATTTATACGGTTATCTTTAAACTAAAAATTTGAAGAAGCAGTTAGAGATTTAGGGTCTCATCTCTATTCGTATTTGTATAAAAGAGATGGGTAACTGTAGTATAAACAGTAACATTTAATAATAGTTAGGCCGTCTGCAATTTGGTAGAAATAATGGACATTTCTCAAAATATTATATTCAACTCATTCCATTATATATTTTTCTTTAATTTGACATAGAGAAAGATTTACAATGTCCTCTTTCAGGCACTACTCAAGCAAAATTGATTAAATGTATAAGCATCTCTTACCATGGACTCTTTGACTTATATCAAAGCTGGCAATGTGATATGTTTCTAGGATAAATATAACACAAGATGTTGATTTCTCATATGAATAAATCCAAATCTTATTTTGGAATTACCAGCAACTTGTTGAATCCTTACGAGTTGTGATGCAAGGTTCAAATGATTTTATTCCTTACAAATTCAATATCACAGATACTCTCTTAAATTGCAGAGTTTTGACTTCCAACAAAATAAATAGGCTTTGCAATTTGTTGGCATAGATTTCTTTGCAGGCATTATCTAGTATTTCTTCTTTCTATGTTATGTTTTGTGTTAAATTATAAATACATTCCTTATTTAATAATTTGTTGGAATTTGAATCTTATTCAAGCCATCTTGATTACTTTGCTTAATTAATGGCATCAATTCTGATTACCACTCATAGTCGAGTAGAATAATTTAGTTATCAATGTAATTCAAATGGCATCCCTGTAGAGCATGCCTTCCAAGAGGCTTAATAATTTTAGTTAGATTCATAGGATCAATAGTTATGCTTGTAACTATCTATGCTCTCGTGACATTCAAGCAGCAGTGCTCTGAATGAAAATGTTTTAATCAAAGTCAATTGAATTATATTGAAGTACAATAAAAGTGTTTATGGCTTGTCAAATAAACAATAGCAATGTTGATTCTCATCATTTCTCATAACCAAGAAAGATTGATCTAACAAATTCGTTTCTGTCATAATTGTTACTGAGTGATTCTTTTGAAGTCGCTGGTGCTTCTTTATTAGTTGGGTCTTGAATTTAAATTAAGATCCAGTCGATAGTGGGAGTTGACTAAATCAATCATTTGATCATTTATAAATCAACAAACATTAAATTACTATTTTTTCATACCATTTCAGATCCTCCATGTGGTCGTTGATTCATTTGAAACTGTTGCACAATTTGTCGCATCTCATCACGAAATGCACTGAACTCCTCTCGTAGACTTGCTGTTTGACCAAAGTTTTACTAGCACTTCCACCACCTGCTTCATTTGTACTATGAGGAAAGTATCAAGTCGGAGTAACACCAAATCCTTGTGTACGAACTCGCCCTGAATGTTCTGGACCCATTACTATGCTAAAAACTTTCTCATTAGCTTCAATATTTCCTTGTTCAGGTGTTAACCCTTCCTTGGCTAGAAGATTACATGCTTGAGTCTACATTAAAATTACATATAATTAAATCAGTTGAAAAACTAATTATAAAAAATAATTTAGATTCACTATTTAAATTTACCCATCGTTGCATAGCATCTTCAGATGACCAAGTCCCATCTTTATGCATTCTGTTTATTTTCCATAATTGTAATATATCCTTAATAGACTACAAAAAAATTATAATAAGAAATATTAGTTTGTAAATGAAGTATTTAATTGCTATAATTAAACATTTAAATTCATACAGTTTCCTTCTGTCTCCGAACTGAGCTCACACGACCCATTGTGTGAGGACAAATTTGCTTTTTGGCATTCTCATAATTTTTTGCAACCCTTTCCTGTGATACATGATAATATTAAGTAATCAAATTTAAAATAATTTTGAAATTTATTGAATGTCATTAAAAAAATATTACCAATGAGCCATACACCCTCTTCAGGGGTTGGAGCTCCGCAAAATGAATGTATTGCAGTCTCGTTGGTTGTACTGTCCTCAAGTTCTTCTTGTGAATCTGGGTGTACTGGAGTAATAGGGGTTTCAGTCTCCCTACTACTTTGTCCTATACTTGATGTTCCTCCACTTGATCCACCTCTGCATATTGCCTTCTTTGCTCGTCTGAAAAGACTACCTCCTGTCATTTCCTGCAAAGAAAAAAAATCAAGTGTTTAGTATTAACAAATAACAACAAATAAAGAACACTATACAAAGGTGTGAAATGCACATGGGTTTAAATATATGTGTGTCATGTGCTGAAACTTGATAAAGTTTCAACATCTGGTGTTGATACTTTCCTTCATTTTGTAAAACAGGCAAAGAAGGAGCTTCAAAAGCCGAAGCTTGTGCTGCACGATGCTTCGGAAGCCGCAGCTTGTACTGCACGATGCTTCAGAAGCACCAGCTTGTGCTGCACGGAGATTCAGAAGCAACTTGTGCTGCACGGGTTGAGGAATCCATCTAATGCATGAATAAACACTCTCTTCTATCTAATGCAAGATTATGAATAATCAAATTTAAAACTAAAAGAAACCATTTTACTAATGCAAGATTATGAATAATCAAATTTAAAGCAAGTAAATGACACCTATAGAGAAATAAAAAATGAACTTTAAACTCTCACAATAGTTTCAAAATGCCTCAAAAGTGAGGTTTGTATTCACACTCAAAATGAGAGAAAACATATTGGTAATGTCACTAATCTTGAAAAAATACCATATTAAAGACTTACATTTACAAGCAAAAAGAAATATTACAATCAAATGCATCCCGTGGTTTAACTCTTACAACATAATTCTAATTCATATTTTTGGCATCTTGAATGTAGAATACAAGCTTCACTTGTGAAGAGAAAATAAAAGGATTATCTTGAAGTTTTTGACCGGTATGAATAAGCCTTGAGAAGTTCACAATAGTATAATCAAAGTCATCTTGTTTTATACCCGTTAAACTTGTGTTTGACCAATCACATTTAAATAAGATCACCTTGATTATGATTTACTTTTACACATAAACTCATTATATTTTTGCATTTACACCTTAAATCCAACTCGAAAAAAAAAAAAATCCTTTGTGCTTATCATGACATTTTAAGAACTTCAGCATTTCCATATATACCATCTCATTTTTCATAAAATATATTTGCAATTAAATGATTCGGTTAAAATATCCTAAATGTCACGAGTTCTGCAATTAACTTTATTATTTGGTTCTCTATTAATTAAAGTATAATTATATACTAATTACTTAGTATAATAATTAATTACTCTTTACTAATTCACAAGACTCAGAACCTTAATCATTCAATGGAAAACACAAAAGTGATAGAGACAAATGCCAAACCAAGAAGATAAGGAGAACCTCTATCAAGCACTCATCATCGCTGCCGACCTATCCCCCTTGTGTCATTTTCTTCATAAAGCATTAATACAACTTTTTTTTGGTGGCATTGTATATATCATAAAAATTCGTAGGCCACAGTTATCATCGGCACAAATAATTTCTAAGATAGATATTTTATCAAAGCACTTGAGCAAGTCCATACGTTGAAATAGCGAATAAATGACGAACATGCATGCGAAATTTAGGGCATCACCAGAAAATTTAAAATGCATCAAAAGAATCATTCAAGAATTTAGTAAATTTAAGAATAGCTACAAAATGGCGACCGGACTATCAAAATTAGGGCATATGAGAAGAGTTGAAAATTACCTAAGACCGATCAAGCGAATGGCGACCTGGAGTTTGTCGGTGATGACTGATTCAGCGACGGGAATGGGTTCGACGTCAACGCCGGTGGATTCGGTCGTCGATGGCGATTTGGTCGTCGATGGCGATTCAGAGGCGACGATGAAGGGTTTTGGCGAGCAAGCGAACGAGCAGTCGATTGAGCAAAATTGGTCGAATGACTATGTTAGGGCATATGGGGAGGAATATATGCCGGTTATAGCGGCGGTTAAAACCGCAGTTATAATACTTAGATAGCATGGGTTAAAACCGTTTGATTTTTTAGATTACTTTCACGCTCCAAGGCATTATATTTGACAAGCGAAGTGCTCTTCCTGTTTGATTTTTCCCTCTATGGTAAGAAATTTATTTGTGAATACTGGACTTACACAGGCGTTAAATTTATGCGACCTCAAAAACGGTTTGGCTGGATTTATCGTAAATCGACTTAAATCCCGCTGTAAATCTGATACCAAATAGCCCCTTAATCTCAATTTAGTTTTGGTTGGACCATTTTCTTCTCTCATTTGAGTAAAATAGTTTAACATTTTTGGGTTGTTTAGATTTCTTTTAAGTAGAATTTCGTAAATTCTCTAAATTTAGATTTATGAAATTTTTAGGGGGTTAAATCCTGAAAAATATTTGACAATATTTATGATAAATCCTATGTAACTGTTTGGTCATTTAATTCAGGATTTAAAGCGATTAAATGATTTGACAAATATTTTTTGGATAATCAAAATATTAAAAGTGGTTGAAAAATTTAAGACGGTTAATTATTATTTATAATATTTTATAATAATTATTTTCTTTTAAAATCATATTTAATTCTATTAATTATTTTGAAATAATTAAGTATTTAACTAATAATTTTATTAATAATTTAATTTATTATTCAATTAATTTACTTAATTATTAATATTTTAAATTATATTATTTAAATTATCCAACAATAAATTAGAGGTGCAGGTTTTGCCTTTCCTCTCCTTCTCTATTTCTTTCGGCTTCGTTGCGTCGAGTGTAGAGTTTTGCACGAGTTCTTCTTCGTTGCTGTTCGACTTCTCTCTTTGGACGACGTTCCCTTCCTGTTGGAGCGGAAGTTAAGACATTTTTTGTTCGGAAGCAACAACGGCAGCTCGCTTGCTCTGAAGGTAACCTTCTCCCTTTCGCGCGCTTCTTCGGACAAATCCCGTAAATCCGCCGAACCAAAGGATTTCGTAAATCCGGGATTTACCACGAAAAGAGGGAATTTCCGTCAACCGCGGCTTTGATTTACCGTGAGATTTGTTTTTGCATTTTTGGCCGTTTGGTTGGATTTAGCTTAAACACGCTTCAAATCCGGCCTAAATCCTGCATCCAAACAGCCCCGTTGGGATCCAAGCTCCCGCTCCTAGGCAATGGGAGAAGTCTTGATGAATCTCAAATTTGGGCGCTTTATTAGATCTGTGTCTAATTTACTATGAGGTTTAATGCCTCTCATTCTTGCAGCCCTTCTATGTCTATGGATCGTGCGGAGCTGACTACAGAAGAGGTATGTGATTGATTCATTTGTTTCCCTTCTCCCTGTGGTAAAGCTCGGCTGGCCATTTTTAGGGCTTTGTCTTCACTCAGAACTATAAAGTTTTTTCTCCTGATTGGGCTTTGATTTGGGCAGTGAAATAGAAAACAAAATCATGATTTTAATTTTGTTCTAGCTTTGGTGTTTATAGTAAGAACTGTCTCATTTTTCAGAGATATTGTTGAATTCACATTCTACATTTCTATTTACCCCTTTCGAAGTATGATTTTTTAATGAACAAACAATCAAATGCAGCCATACGTCAGGTTCATTTTTTTTGTCGTATAAACATTGAGAAATCTTGGCGGGTATTTATTGATTTAATTTTCTCTTTCGTTTGGTCTTGCTGTCACCATGAACAGGGATCTGATATGGTACCGAATAATTTATGTTCTTTAGACGTGTCTTGACTTGAAATCTCATCTCAGAGCAAACGAGCCAAATATCATGTTGACAACAGCATGTAGCATGTAAAATTTAGAAATGGAGTTCGACATATTACTACAATATATGTATGATGTCCCTCTTTTTACAGTTAATTATTTTGTGATGCCTTTATTTTAGAATTGATCACTAGGGTATGTTTATGGCTTGGCTTCTATCAATGCTTGTAGCTGTGCTAGCTAGATGGCCAAAGTGGACTTCTCTAATAGCTATCTCTTAACAATTTGATTGTAAGGCAAAATTATGACCCGAATAAATTAATCTCTCATGAAATGTGTGTAAGGTCTGCAAATATCTTATATTATGCAAGTTGTACTTCAGTAGGAATAACTTCTTGCCTTGGTTTGAAAATAAGGCTTTTTTATGATCAAACATGTTTTCCTTTTTGTAAATCTATTTCTTTTGAATAGAGACTAATGATTCATTCTCTCTTTTGTATCAATCTATTGCGTTTGCAGCATTTGTGGCAGTTAATAGTGCTAAGAACTTTTCTCCGTAAATATGAAAGACATGTGTTGTACAATCATTAAACCTTTTGAGTTCAATAAGTAAACTTTCTTGTTTGACTGCCACCCTTAGGTTAGGTTTAATAGAAGGGCTATTGCATTTTACTTCCTGGACATGTGAATATATGTACTGCATTCTGTGTTGTTCGAGTAAATTAGATTTTCTGAAACTTAGATGACTCTGAGTGATGCTTTCCTGAAGAACATGTCTCCAATGATTATATTATATATGGTTAATGCTTTGGTTGTCTTTAATTTGAAAGTATCTTTATATATTTCTAAAGGTTCTAAGGAGGGATATACCATGGGAGACATATATGGCAACAAAGCTGATCTCAGGAACAGGCCTGCAGCTATTGAGGCGATATGACAATAAATCTGAAAGCCAACGCGCAGCTTTGCTAGATGATGTAAGCTTCTATTCCCCATGACATAATTAGGTTTAATTTTATTTTGTTTGCATAAGATGTCTTTTGAGAATTTCAAGCATATCCTTTGTGCAAGAGTCATTAATCATTTTGGTTTCTTTTTCATTTATCTTGTTATTCATCATCTATAATGATGCTAGCACTTTCTTTTCTCCTTTATGGAAAGCACATAAGTCCCTTTGCAAAAGTTAGTTCAACATTTTTTTAACATAATTTGATTACTTGGTGAGGTGGAGTTCTGCAAGGTCAGTTTCAATTTTTAAAATAGCTTCCTTCTTTATATACAAATGGTAGCATGTATTTTTCTACGATGTTCTTGTTTTTAATTTTATACATTTTAAAAAACTGAATCCCTATATTCTTGTAAAAAGACTTTAATCCTCATGCATTGAAGGCATTGCACTTTTGCATTTTCTATTTGAAATATGACTAATGCAATGCAGTTTTCAATGATTTTCTCACAATCATGCAGTTTTGGGCATTTTTGTCTTAAAACTTGTAAAATCACTTTAATATGTTCATTAGTTTAAAATATGTTTCAATGAAAAAGCGCTCACCCGCTACATAAGCTCCCACTAATGCAAGGTCTGGGGAGTGGTTGATATACACAATTTTACTCTTATATTTAAAGATAAGTTATTTTCATGACATGAACTTGCTACCTCCATAATATGTAAAGGCAATTTAACTAATTCAAATATGTTTAATTGTGAAACAACTGCATGTTTTTCGCTAGTTGGGACCTATACTCCCTAAGACTTCTACCCTCTTTCTTTTCTCTTATGTTGCCACCTCATTGATTCATGGGATCTCTATTGCCTACTCATCAATTCATGGACTGTTATAATTATTCTATAAATATTATTGTGGCCACTAGTCAATATGTGGACTATTGTAATTATTTTATAATTATTATTCTCTGATTTTACATGCTTACTATTAGAAGCTCTTTTATTATTCTTGGATTTTATATGCTTACTATTAGAAGCTCTTCTAGGATTATATAAATACTACACAAATTTTGGAATAAAATACTAAACCAATTCTCACCAATGATTCATAGACACTTCATAGTAAGGGGGATGCAGTGTATAACATGTGTCGTACAGAGATGCGTGCCCAACACGTCTGACATGTTTCTAAAATGGTCGTCATTTGTTCAATTAAAAAATAATAAAAAAAACCAAACACTTGTGTCATACACTTAATTAAAATTTTATAAAAAAACTCACTTTTTCTATATTTGATTTTCCTCTCCAAAAATTCTTTCAAATCTTCTCGCCCGACCTTTTCTTTTTTGCATGCTCGACTAGGATTTGGGTAGACATTGCAGGATCTATGGATCCAAATGTCAGCTTCCAAAGCTGGACTCTCACATGCTTGTCTCCAAACTTCCTCTCTCCTCTCTATGTCAAAGCTTCACCCTAAAGTCCAGCGATTTGCATCTTTTTTCCTCTTGATGCCAAAGCCAACTCCAAAGCCTAACAAGGTGATGATTGAAATTCTCTTTTCCTTTTAGCGAAACCCGAGATACTTCAAATAAGTACTAAATTATCAAATGGAATGGAGATGAATTGATGCAAGCAAAAAAATAGGATGACCCTAATTTTTGCAAGCATATAAACTTCCTAAACAATAAGAAAATACATAAAATAAGAAAATACAACAATTAAATGGAACACAATACAACTTTCATAGAAATAAAACGACTCTTACAAACTTAAGAAATAAAAACAAACCCCTGAACTTGCTTTTCTTGGATTGAGAAAAAAAGATACAATTGGCGTCGAACTTGCGGAGAGAAGAAGTAGATAAGAAGTCGAGACGAAAGTGAGGACATGCTTGCAAGCTTTCCTAAGAAGGAAGATGATGTAGAACAATCATGTGAAAATTGGTTTGAAGTAAGAGCTTGCACACTTAACTTTTGGAGCAACAATAATTATAATCATTATAGTGATTTAAACGACAAAATAAACAATAAGATGATAAACAAGCTTAGGCTAAATCACACGCATAGAAGTTAAGCTCGTAAGACAGTTAACTTAATCCAATGTTGCATACATGGATAGTTCCAACAATAAATTTTAATGCTAACAATAAGATTAATTCTATGAAAGATCCCTCACAAAACTCTTCCAATTACTAGGTTTTAGCGGTGAAGCATTAACATTATCTTCATGAATATAATAAAACCACAATTAAGAAGTAAGCTAAGAAGATAAGAGAATTGGAGGGAGAGTTTACCCAAAGAAAGAAGTTATCCAAGGGAACGACAAATACGACGCTCCGGCATAGTTGCTTATGCGTTTGAGGAAGAGTGGATAGCAACTTCAGGTTTCAGAGCCTTCAAGATGGCAATGGGGAACATTCTGGACAGCGAGACAGCCATAGGAGGTCACCAAAGTGACTGGACAGTGGCTAGGGACGCCGAGACAGTAGCAATGAGGGTTGGGACAACTATTCAGCACTTTGAAATACTTTTGGACAGCAATAGGGTGAGTTCCAGGGCTGGACAGCAGGTGTAGATATACAGGAATCTGCTGGCAACAGTTTAACGGGGTCCTGGGAAGGTCGGGCAGCAGCTATATGCACTCCAGGATACCTTGGTCAATCCTAAACGGTCTTCTAGAATCACCTGGAAGCAAGTATTTGGAAACTCCAGTAAAGAGAGAAATCATAGAGAAGACGGGTTTGGAGAGGGCGGCTACGACTGAGGTGGATTAGGGAATTGATTAGAGGATTAATTTGAGGAATGAATTGTATTAATTAGATCCCTAATTTATGGGATCCAATTAAATTAATTGCGGTAATGTTAAAATTAGAAATTAGTTTTCAGATTTAGAGGGAGGAAATCTTCAATTTGAAATTCAAATTAATTCCCATAAGGTGGCTTGATTGGGCAGCAATCAAGGAGGGTTTAATGGATGATTTAATGAGGGTCTAGGTGGCAAATTGGAGAGAGAAAAGGGACTAGGGAGGGGCCGGCCACATGAGGGGAAATTTGAGGTGTTTGCAATTAATAGGTGGACCCGGAAAGGAGTTAATTCGGGCTTGCATTAAACCTGAAATTGATTTCAGATTTTAATGGGATTATGAGGTTTCCTAATGTACGTTATTAATAGGGAAAGTTTTAGAATTCAAATTTGAATTTGAATCTAAGTGAATAACTTTCCAAATTAATGAGGGCGCAAATTAGGAAAGTAAATTAAGGATGATTTTGAAATTTGAAATTCAAAATCATTGGGTGGTGGATTGATGGCCGGAGGCTTGTAGGGCTTAGGGAGGCCGGCAGCAAAGGGGGAAGGGGGCGGCTAGGTGGCGGGTTGTGGCTAGGTTGGTGGGTGGGATTTAGGTGGTGGAGCTAGAAGATGAATTGGGTGGGGGAGGTTGAGCCACCGGTGGTGGGAGGTAGGAAGGGGTGGCGGATGAAGTGAGGGAGAAAAGAGATGAAAGAAAAATACAAATAAGATAAAAGTAAACTAACGAACTCACAAAGAGATCGTAAACCGCAAACCTTGGACTCCTCCAAAGATTAACGGGTATTGCTTTCACCTGCCTATAGTCTCTCCTCTCATGAACTCACTTAGAGATCAAGCAAAGAAAAATAAGATTTCATTTCAATGTTTATCATCCCATTACAATGCATGAGACCTCTTTTAAATAAATCAAGATAAGACACAGCTAGAAAGACACAAATGCCCTCAGGGCTGCACAAGCGACTCAATACCCACAGGGGCAAACTAGTAAAATAAAATAAGAGAATAAATAAAATACAAAATAAATCAGAAATAAAGGCTCTGGATCGTAGCTGTCGATCCGCGTCTCTGACGATGGTACACGTGGCGAAATCTGATGTCCTCATAAGAAGAAGAATGGAGCAAGCTCCCAAGCTTTTCCAAAGGAGAAAAAACCCTCAAGTTTTTTGCTCCAAAAATCTCTCCATAACATATCATTTTCTATTACAAAATACTTAATATTTATAGGAGAAATGGGGTAGCCAAACAGCCAATCCACCTCTAACCAAACCAATCAAGTAAGGGGAAATAGAAGGCCTGCATTTAATTCATAAACAACACCCAAACAGCCACCCAGAAAACAAAAAAAAGGCAGCTAAGGGAAAAGGGATGGACGGCTAGGGGAATTGGAAAAGACAACCAGGGGAACCGTAAAAGGCAACTAAGGGGGAAAGGAATTGATGCAGACAAAAGATATAGGGAGCCTATACCCTTCGCCCACAAAAGAGAGGACAGACTTCTACGGACGAAATTGACAAAAAGGACGAAAATAGGGAAGAACAAACTCTTACATTTCAATTTTAAAACCAAATAAAAAAAACTTATGACGACGACTTGCAAACAACACGACAGATACCCTAAAGTTGCTGCACTTAGAGAAGAAAGATATAGGTGGAGTGGCACTTGCGGAGAGACGAAAGAGATTAGAAGCCCGAGAAAAAAGGTTGGAAAGAGCCCGCAGGATTTCCGGAGGGGATGAGAAAGAAGGGTGGAAAGATTCCGCAGGATTTCCAAGCAACCCGCAGGTTAACTAATTTTTCCAAAAATCAAATATCATTCACTTTTCAAAATATTACATAACCCCCCATATTTATAGGTATGAAAGGGGAATACAAAAGGACACAAACATTAATGAACACAATAAGCTAAGCATTAAAAAGCATAGAAAACTTCCCCCCAAGCTCTCGGTTTACACCCAAACCAGGAACCAAGGAGACAGCCACGGGAGACGAAGGGAACCGCACGGACCGAGAGCCACAGCCACGGGAAATGAGGGGCGGACACGGAACAAGGAGCCAGCCGTGAGATCCCAAGAGGTAAAGCACAAAATACTAAAAGGCCATGGTGGAATTCAAGGAGCCACCATGGGAAAAAGAAATCTTGGAATTCCAAAGGCCGGTTTGGAATTCCAAGAGACAAACATTAAAACAAACATAAAAAGCATAAAATTACATTAATTAAAAGATA